GATCAGCAGATTAGAATCGTATATCACAACAGGTTATTTAGACAATGCATGAATAAGTAATACAGGAGGAGCTCATGGAGCCACAATTAGCTCCCAGGGCCACGAGGAGTTCCTGGCTCAATGCTGAGCTCCATTCAGTGGTTGTAGTCAGGGATGACTAAAACCTGCATAGATGCAGATACTCTTTACTTAAAAGCACTGAAAACATGATGCAAGTTCAATCAGAGTCAGTGAAAACATGGCGCTTCCAGACGATTTTAAATCCACACTCTGAACAGAAACTTGCTCCTCTCCATGTTAGTGTTTAGCCAAAGTTACCATGGTGATTGAACCAGGTAAAACAGCCACTTTCATGACACAGAAAACTTGACAGAGCTCACTAAGCCAATAATCTGGCTTTGTAGTACGCTGCTTTAGTCGGGCAAGGATTCAAGTGTGTGGCTTTTTAAATGGGTTTGTTTGCAGGCTTCATAAGCTTATTGCTGTTAATTTGTAAGACAATTAGAGATGCTAACTCTCACTGGAGTCTCCAGCTCGTATCTTAAACAGTGTTGTGTTCTTTTCCAGAATGGGACTAATTTATCAAACTATTATTATTGTTCAGGTTTTTGATGCAGCGTTTGGTACATGCTAACGAGGCAGCATGGTCCCTTTTCTGTGTTTCCCTATGTGAAGACAGGCTCACACGTGCTGTTAAGGGGTTCTCAGGGTCTCCTGTCAGCTGGCTGCCATTCATTGACAGCCAGCTGACAATGACGGGAAACAGGAAGGTCGGCAGCATTGACCTTTCAAAATAAAATATAGACTTTCAATGTTTGGAATAACACATACCTCAACCGGATCACCTCTGATTGGAACAGTGGCAGAAATGTCAGAGACTTATATTTCAGAACGTGCTGTGAAACAAAAACTATCTACAGAAATAGTGAATACATAAAACCTGGATGAAATCCTTGAGAACATATTTATAGTCACCAAATAAATATGAGGTGGTCTTCGCTGTATCCCAGGTACTCCACGGCCTATGCCGAATCAGACTACACTGATCGTGACACGGACAGAGAGGAGGGTGAGCAGGAGCCTGAGCAAGAGTCTGAGGATGAGGACAGGAGCTGTGCCACAGTCCTTACCCTCCGCCAGGATGTCTCCCAAGAGGAAGAGCTGGAAGAGAGGGGGCTGGAAGATGAGGAGGAGGAGGAGCTAATGAGCGAGGTTCCCAGTGGGGAGCTGGCTCTCCTCCTGGCTCAGAGTGACATCCTCCACACAGGAGATGCCAGTTTAAAAGCAGAAGGCTTTCGACTACTAATGGACAACAGAGCAGAAGTGAGTAACAGGATGCTTGTTGGTGGTCACATGACAAGAAGCTAATGATGCCTGTAATGACCATTAACGCTGATTTGATATGAGTGTTGTTTGTGACAATGGGTCATTGCAAAGAGTAGACGTAGAAGAATAAATATATCAAGTGAACCAATGAAAATTCAAATCAAATAATGGTCTCAAAGGGAAAAGGCACTGCTCATATCTTAAATAAAATTAAAATAAAATATACATGTATGAAAACTATGGAACACTTTGGAATTTTTTAGCAATAAAATGTGTTCCGATCTTCGCCCGAGTCAGAACTACAGACAAACACAGTCTGACTGAGCTCGTACTCAAGTGCTTCACAACAAAAATATCAGAGTATTAAAAAAGAAAGAGTTAACTAAATGTATGTCTCAAAGGTGAGTTTTTAGTTATTTCTTAAAAGAGACCAGTCAGTCAACAGATCTCAAGCTCAGAGGGAGAGAGCTTCAGTTTCTGGAACCAGGGTGACAAAAAGCTCTGTCACCGTCAGCTTTAATCCTCGTATGATGCACAACGAGTAGGCCCCACATTACATGACCTCAGCGACCTGCTGGAAACGTGTGTCTGTAAAAGTTCACTGATGTAAGCTGGTGCTCGTCTATGAGGAGCTCTTTTTTTCCTCTTTTTGGGTCTGCAGTATGGAGACAGCAGGGAGTTTCTATGGCGACTAGCTCGAGCCTACAGGGATATGTATGACTCCACTGAAGACAAACAGAAGAAGAAGACCTATGCACAGCAGGGTAATGGACAAACACATACTGTTACTGCACCTTACAAAAAGCTTCAAATACTATTAGTGAGGAATCTCTGAAGTTTGGCTCTTTGGGCTAAATGTCCTTATTCTTAGATTCTATCTAAGCCTGAACATGACAGTTGCCACAAAGCATTTGCTGAAATGTTTCTAGTTATCAAACGAAAGCAAATAAAATACTGACAACTGTCACTGGATTATTTAATGGAAACCAGAGGATTCTAAGGCGAGTTCTGAACCTCTGCGCTGCTGTCCCATTAATCTGTTGTACAGTATTACAGAGCCTCTCATAACAATATCATAGCATCATTTCCACCAAGTACCATTTGAATGTTGCAGCAAAAATTGACTCAGTTCCCTGTTCTTAGCTGACAGGAGAGGGGTCTGGTCTGGTCTTCTGCTGCCCTAACCTGTCTGGTTCAAGGTTCCACATGTTGTGTGTTCAGAGATGTCTGGGTGTAGAAAACCTTTATATTAGTGTTTAAGTAATATACTAACCGTCCGGTGGACTGGGTGAATCATTGCTAGGAGTTTACATGTGCTCCTTCAAACTGATGGAAACCATGCTGCCGTATCAGACCACAACAACTACTCTTCCTGACATGCTTTCTTTGATTTTTCATAGACAGGCTGTTGTTAACCTGTGAGCTCATGTTGCAGGTCGAGATGAGGCAGAGCTGGCCCTGAAGAAGAATGGCCTGAATGCAGAGTGTCACAAATGGTAAATCCCTGTGAACACAGAGCTTCTAGCGAGCACTGGGTTTGAGCTCCCATCAGAGAGCATTTGCTTTTTCTGTTTGTGGCTCCAGGTTTGCCATGCTGGCTGGACTGACCTCACAGCATGAGAGCATGCATAGCAAGCTGAAGAGTAGCTGCATATTGAAGGTAAGAAAGGCAGACCTGCTGCACGGCAGCAGTGTAGGCGTAGAGCAGCTGGACTTATTGTGATCATTATTCCCCCGTCTAGGAGCATCTGGACCGAGCACTGGCTCTCAGAGATGATGACCCCATGTGTTTCTACCTGCTTGGCAGATGGTGTTATCAGGTGACTCTGAAGTTACTGCACGCACCTGCTACCATCCTGATGTCAGAGATTTCTGCGCGCTTCAGTGCTTTGTCTGTGTGTCTGTAGGTAGCCACTCTGGACTGGTTGGAAAAGAAGGCAGCTGCTGCCCACTACCAGAGCACCCCCACCTCCACCCTGCATGATGCCCTTGAGAGCTTCCTCAAGGTATGAATCTCCTGACTTTTGAGTTCAAATCGGTGGTAGACTGGTGACCCAAAAAATCTTGGCTTATAGCAATGATGTGCAGTATGTGCTGTATCTAATAAGGACACACTGGCAGTGTGAAGGAGTAGGATGGAGGAGGGATCAGTGTAACAGACTGGGCGTGTCTCAGAAATCAGTTGAATCTCATAGGCTTATAGAAGGAGCTATAATCAAAGGATGCACAGGTGCAGTACCACTGAGGGAGGATGACTCTGAACAACTCGTCTTTATTATTCACTTGCTTCAGTTCTTTAAGATGAATGTGCGGCCTGGGAAATAAGAAAAGTAGATGTTGTATGTCTCAAATCTTAGCCTCATTTTGTGTCCATTTCTGAGCAGATGTGTGACTGCACACACACACGATGTTTGATGGATGAAATGCTTTTGTGTTAACTTGCAGGCAGAGGAGCTCAGTCCAGGTATCTCCAAGACTGTGAGACTTTACATCGCCAAGGTAATATCAGATCAGCTGATCTCACACTGTACAGTTATGATTTATGGTTCACACACATTAAAGTGCTAAAGTCCAAACTCACACCCTACAGCAGACTCTTGGGATCATCTGTCAGTGACTTTTACATGTTTGCATTCATGTGAGTTAACATGATGTCCTCATTATTTTGTGAAAAATGGAAATTCACTTTGAATCTTGAAAGTTAGTGAAGCTGGGACCGGAAGAGACTGAAATGTTTGTAATGCCTAAAAGACGATGATGCGAGTTAATAGGTCCCATATCTACTGACACGTCTGTTCATTTACATTCAAAAACACTGAACTGAAAATGACAAAAGGCAGGTAATAATCACGGCACAGTTGTTGCAGTCAGGTCTTTTTCTTTGATGGTCATATCAGGAACTGTGAAACTCACTGTGGCTGGATTTGGTTTACAGTGTCACAAAGAGCTGGGGAACATCTCCGAAGCCACAAACTGGGCTGAGCTGGCTCTGAAGATGCCTAGAAATACTGAGAATGTAAGAGCACACATCCTGTCCACATTTGAATTCATAGCTGCAGCATTTTCACCACAATGCCTTTTCTATTCAAAGGATCAAGAAACATGTGAACTGGAGGCAGAGCTTCAGGACTTAACTGCCAGAAACAGCTGAGCTGCAGAAAAACTTTCCTTCATTGATGGATGAGTGTGATTTTTGTCTTCTGTCAACTTCTTTGCATCACCATGTATTCAACCTGCTATATTTAACGTTCTTCAGCACCTCCCATCTGAATTCAACGGGCATGCTGTGTTTGGTTTGAAAAACGACTGACTCAAGCTTGATGACTGAAACTACTAATCCCGGGACACGTGCAGAGCTTTAAGGGAAGGAGGAAGCTCTGGAATAAGACCATTTCACTCGGTTCTGTACTATAATGCTTGTTGTGTAAAGATTGGGCCTTCAGGTGTGATCAGGTGAAGCACACTGGCTTCTTTCAAACCTTATGGACTCCCTGGTGTAACATGTAGTTTAAAATGGACCACTTGTTTGAAGTCTTTGTTGTAAGTGCATGGAGCCCTGTGTGCTCATCAGTATGAAGTTGAATATTTTTGAACTGTTTATGTTATCACATGTCCATTTTGCAGTGTCTGCTGTTGGAGTGAGACAAAAGACTCAGTACTCAGAGACGTTATTATGCACTGTGTGAAATGCAGATACTGTTTAATAAAGTTCTTTTTCCATTTATGGCAACACATTAGCTAAATCTGAAATGAAGAAAGAAAATCTACTTGAAATACTTTACATGGAATGACTGCTGACCTCTCCTGCATCCAACTCTTTATTCATGACTTATCTTTAGTCAGCTTCATGTTGATGCAGTTATAGAATAAAAATGTCCCATCAGATCAGGAGCAGCCTACGTTTTATAGATATATACAGTTATGCGTCTGTCGCCACAGACTGTCTAGATCGTCTTTATCAAACAATTAAATAAAACGTGACAGTGTGACGAGACAAACACACGCAGATCCAGCAGGTGCGCCTCACATCCTGCTGCTTCAGTCCTTGGCATCGCCCACTCCGTCAGCGTTGATGGCAAACATGGCTTCAGCCTCAGGCAAGCAGGGAGAGTCATAGATTTTACAGATCCTTGTTTCTCCTCTGCCCTTCCTCAGGTACAGGCTGTGAAGAAGAGAGCACTGTTAGAGTGTCATCTTCCTGTGGTGACATCATACTTCCATCGTGAATAAAAACACACCGTGTGGTGGAGGCGTGGGCCAGAATGTTGCCGCCGATTGGTTTCTTAGGATCTGCAGAAAACATGGCTGCTCCATCCACTTGTGCTACCACTTGGTTGGTTATCACCACAGCAACGCCAAACTGTTGACAGGTCGGGCAAAAGTTATGTCTTAGATACATACATGAGTGACGCAGCTTCAGCTCATCCATTGTAGATTTAAACACCTGTCAACAGTCACACTTTATAAACTTTGTGTACACACACACACACACTTTCTTCACTGACTTTATAATTCTTTTGACAAAAACTAAAAATAGTCAAATAGATTGATAACAGATCCTCACAGGACAGCTGCTGCAAACGTAATTTATAGAGTGATTCTGTATATTTAGCAGCATATAAATTATTTAAAATGAGCTCAACCATTTACATACATTTAACACTAATCTGAACATTTTTACTTCTAAATATTTTTTTACATTTATTTTCATTGATGTATATTTTCCAGTTACATCAATTTATTTTACTGAGGCGTTTTCTTGCTTTTCTTCCTAAAGAGTGATTTATGTCTCTGCCCACTAAAAGTAATCATTTTTGGTAATGCAGCATATATTTAACTATAGAAGCAATGTTTTAAAATTTGTCAGCCATTCACAAGCGCAGAATGGTGAAAAGCTCCATGCAGAGTATAGACAGTATGTTTTTATCTGATCCAACTAAGTTCACTCAGAGATCATGCTGATTAGATTTACTCACTGAATTCCACCTTTATAACTCAGGGAATGTCTGCTTACATCATCTTAAATTCAGCTGATTAAATCCTAAACACTAAATGTACTCACAGTAGAAATTATTCCAAGTGATTTAATTCCCCACACTGCACCACTAAAACTGATCTTATGATTAAGAAAAATGAAGCTAATTTGTGTTTGGTCTTTCTTTGTAACAATTCTTCTTGATGACAAATCGTATACCATTAGAAAGCTTATTAGTTTCCTTTAAAAGGTGCCACATTAGTAAGGAAAACGCATTTGTGGGTTGAGCAGCAGAGTTGAGCATATTGGATGCGCCCATGATACCCCAGGTGCTGACAGTCAAGTGCCTGATAAGCAGCATGTGTGAACAGAGACCCTGCTACAGCGGATTTGGGATCCATAATATTAGATCTGAATAGGATTTTATTATATATTGGGGGTGGCTGTAGCTCAGCTGGTAGAGCAGGTCACCTACTAATTGAAAGGTTGGTAGTTTGATACTCGTCTGCTCCAGTCTGCATGCCAAATACCTACTTTCTACTTTTGTTATATCAGTTCAATTACTACTTTAACTTTAACCACAGTATAGTTAACACAAGTATCTGTACACTACTGGCACCTGAGGCGATCACTGATTCGTGGAGTGTACAATTCAAACTAAAGAATCTGTCAGGGTGTGAGAGCTGACCTCGTCCGCCAGCCTGAGCAGCATACGCAGGAAACGGCCCAGGTGTCCCTGCCTGGCTGACAGCTCTCCTCTGCCCGAGTAGTCGGTTCTGTACAGAGCTGTGGCACTGTCTACTATCAGCAGAGCATACCTGACAAACACAGGGACAAATAGTGTTAGCCTGCACGTTCACACTCAGATCTTACAGTTTTTTATCGTATGTGTGACATGCCAATGTCAGACCCTAGTCGGGCTTAAAAACCTTTATGATACATAAATTATGAAACAACTCAAACAAGATCATGCTTTTCACAGACTACATGAAAAAAAACCTCTTTAGTCAGTTTCCTTGATTAAAAAGACAAACCAGCTAAGATGGGCTGTATGATGATACCCTATTAAAACATCTATCATTTATTTCGTGGTGTTGCAAAACACAGCGTTTACTGCAAGATGACAGTTTGCAATAGTCACCACCAGCAAAAACAAATGGGGACTGTTCCTAAATGGGGTTGTACCTGTGGCGCACCATAGAATAAAGACTCATGGAGAAAATGGCAGCCATTACAATTTTATACATTGGTCGAAACACTCGACAAGTCGGGTTCCCACATTTATATCACAAGTGTCTGTCCAACACTCACTGCGACAACAGATATCTAGACAAGCTGAACGGTGCACTTCATCAGAGACTGCACACTCTGACGTTTGCACACAGGCTGGTTTTCTGACGACCGTACAGGAGCAGTGATGATAGTGATACACACTGGCTGCCTCTCCTAAGGCAAATATTCATTTCATTTTTGATTATTTCAATTAAACGTAAAAAAGAAAACAGTATTATTGTTTATTAGTATAAAGTATGAACTGAATTTACAAAGAAAGGCACTATATTATGATACAGATCGTTATTATTGGGATAAGAAATTACTTCGTTACTTCTACAATCATTGGAAAATATTAAATCTGTCTGTGTGATTTTGTGATTCAAGACATTTTATAACCTGATTAAAATCAAACGTGAACTTTCTCAGCATTTTTCTCGTTTTTTAATCTGACTAATGTTTAAGAAATGACTGAGAAGCAATTTCATTTCTCGAGTCAGTCCAAACTCACCATCACAGCTAGGGTTAACTAAAACTCAAAACTGAATTCAGAAATTCACTCGAGCTGATGGACAAACATGAAGACATTCCACGTTGAAACCATTATACAATATAGGCTCTGTGCATTTTACATAAATCATGACATTTACATCCAGTTTTCAGTTCTACCGTGGAGCCAAGTTTCCACATGTCCTCTCACTGCACTTCCTAGTTTTTGGTTAAGTGAAATTAGGCAAAAAAATAAAAATAACTATCCTTCAATGATTCACCTGAACACTTCTACACAGTCTGTAAGTTTGTGACTAACCTGGACTCCGCCATCATTGCAGAAGCTTGATAGAGCAGCTGAGTCTGGTGGTCTGTGTTGAAGGCTCGGGCATAGGCCACGTTATCCAAAACGTCACTGCCTACCAGCCCATACCTGACAGCACAGACAGACAACACATACAGCTCCAATAAGAGTAATAAAATCACCAACGTGGAAATAAATGACAGGTTTATAGATTTTTATTCTGCGTCAGTTACTTCTTCTTTGACCTCTGAACTGAATGCTGAAAACAAAGGAGCACCATCTCACCTCTCGGCAACAGCGAGCAGTCTCTCTGGTCTGAAGGTTCCTTCTGTGTCGATGTACATGGCTTTGCCTTCTCCGCCTCCCTGATCGATGGGTAGCTGTGGACGGTCACCATGGTTACATCTCTCTAGATCAACAACTTATTTGTAAAGCAATCCTAAAAGTTTCTGAGCGAGCTGCTTGTGATCCTCCATAACACACGCTGATGGATAGAAACTGGCTTTTTAACTTCTTCTGGCACCACTTAGGTTTGTTGAACACACTGTACCTGGCAGGTGACGGCGAGTGTGTGGCACAGCTGGGTTTTCCCCGTCCGAAACTCTCCAAACATCTCTGTGATGGAACCCGTCTCAATCCCACCTGTAGGAGAGCAAAAAGGTTTAAATTTGATGTGCGAGGCTGGGCCTCCCTGCTGCTGCCCGAGTTCTGATAAGTAAACAAAAAATGGCTGCATGATTTGTTGTTTTGGTTTGCAACTTTTATTTAAATGGTGGTCACGAGGAACATCCCTAGTTTAAATCTAATAAAACCAGCTTAGGGCACATAACCATCACTGGCATTGTGTTTGCTGCATAACTGAACTGCTAATCAGGGAGATCTCCTCAATGAAGCATGAGCTACATTAGACTAACCCTGCAGGAGTTTGTCCAGCTCCTTGGAGCCTGTAGAGATCTGGATGATCTCAGCTCTCCTCTGATGGAACTCAGTAGCTGTGGTGAAGCCCATTGGCACCAGTTTGGCAGCTTCAGTCTGAGGGAAAAGGTAAATGAAAGCAATTCAGTTTTGTTTATACAGGGCCTAATCAAAACAACAGTGGCCTTGAGACACTTTATCTTGGAGAGCAAAGACCCCACAACGTTCAGATGACCTCCTATGAGCAAGCACTTTGTGACAGGGGAAGGCAAAACTCCCTTTTGACAGGAAAAGACTTCCAGCAGAAACACTCTCGGTGATGGGTGGCCATCTGCCGCGACCGGTTGGGGCTGAAGGTAGGAAGACGGGACAAAGAGACGTTGTGGAAGAGATCTAGAGATGAATAATAACTCATATCCAAATACAGAGAGGTGTGTACAAATATTTATTAACGCTTTTTCTTTGATTAACAGTACTGAAAGTAGCTGTACATAATGTTACCTTTGTCAGATGGTTATGACCATTTTTGAAGTTATTACTAGTTGACCTTAAAGGAATGCTTGGCTCAATGCTAAATGGTAATCTTCTAAATTAGTGAGATGCCAGTTCCTTTCCAGCTTACAGGCCATCTACTGTAAAAGTGTACATCTGAGAGTTATACCAGGGGCTCAAGATCTTCTTATCCGAAGCTCTTTCTTTAAAAGAAACCCCCCCCAATCAAGAAAAACAACACACACACACACACACACACACACCCCTATCAGATGTTTCTCAATGCTACATTTTTGTACCACCTTGTTCACAGCTGTTTCATTTGTGAGACCTAACCTTAGTAGTGGTTCAGTGACCCTCTTAATGGGCCACGCCCACTTGGGCTAAGCACTGATGTGCAGGTGTAGACGCAGCTCTTTGAGGAAGCGTGTCTTTGGTTTTTCCGGCACTTTTGCCTGCAGCCTCCCAAACAGCTGTGAGCCTTCTGGCTGAAGACCATGAAGAACTCAATTCCTATGATGCATTTCATATTAGAATTCCTCATTTCCTGTTTTAAAACATCCATTAAGGCCGACATGGATATTACTACTGAGTGGAAACCATGTCTTCTTTAACAGCATGCACTGATGTTCAAACCAGCAGCACTTGGAGAAAGTACAGAAGCACACTGATGTGCCTCTACAATGTATCCGTTTTATCTGTCAATCAGATATGACCATAAGCAGTCTCCTCCACACAATCCCAGCTTTCACATTCCTCTGAGATACCGAATCAAACGACTGTCGTTCCTTACCAGGATCTTGTCAGCCTTGGCCTCACTGATGCCCTTGATGTTGAGCAGCTCCTTCTTGGGAGCGTAGGCCACTGCTTCAATGGTGTGGAATCCTGCATCCTCCAGCTTTTTGATGTCACTGGCACTGATTCCGCATTGCTGCGTGCAGAGGCATAGAAACAAAGAGCTGAAGCTAAATTCACAGAAAGAGTTTTTCGAGAAGCTGGAGGGTCTTGCACACTCCATGATTAAAAGCCAGTTTAATTTTTGATAGAGCAGTTAAAAAATAAACAACATAGTTGAGCCATTTATGAGATATCATGCAGAGAGGGCTTTTGGCTTTTAAAGGCATTAGTAAGAAATACAGAATTTTAGGAACAAAGTCACTGACAGTTTCATTTAACACAATATACGAGCCTGGTGAGGGACCAAGCAGTGAAGGCATAGAGGACAACAGGAGAAATGTCATTAAATCAGGGCTTAATTTTTTTTTTAAACCTGTGTCACGGGGCGGTAATTTTAGGAAGTCAATGAAATGACACAATCTGGATTTTTTAATGCCACCACTCAATTCTGATTAGAGCCTGACTGATATAGGATTATTAAAACCAATACAAACAATTGGTGATTTAAAAATCTGATGCATCAGGATAACTTTTCCTCCACACACACACATTACATGTGGTTATTTATGAATCCCTACAAACACAATAAGACCCAACTACTTAGAAATCAATGGGTTTCACTGTCACAAAAAGCTGTGGATTACTCACTTGTGCCCTTTCCATATCAGCGGTGTGTTTGTATTAAACAGTGCAGCTGCAGAGCACCCTCTAGTGGACAATCTATGCATTAACCACGACTCACTGAAGGGGTTTTCTACCTCCTCTTCTTTACTTTTTACATTTTTATTTATCAGTCGTTACAAATGGCAATAGTGATATTTCAGAAATTATCTAATGCTGTCTGACATATCAGCCCATTCTAAATCCAAGCTTCAAATACATTTAATGTTTAAAGTGCTTCTTCGGTCTTACTGACCAGTTGCAGAGCTTACTATCAATAACACTATAGGCATACAAACTGCAGTCAGATTTTTTTTAAAAAAGGGTCAAGTTCAAAGACGGGTGGATCCTTCCATGAATCAATCAATGGTTTCCACCTGGTGCTCCAAGAATCAGCTTATTGCTCATTGTAGAAGAAGAATCAGGTCATTTACAATTACTTCAGTATATGTAATGAAGCCACCTTCCTTTACACTTTGAACGTTGTCAGTTTTGTCACATAATACTTTGAACATACCATACTCATATTTTTTTAATCCTTGCAGTCTGAGTGTGCCGGTGGATTTGAGATCCTCTGTGATCCACGCCATGATCGTTTTAAATAGTTCTGTACTTAAGGTCATACAAAAAATAAGGTGACCAAATTTCACCTCGTACCTGAATGTGACATAATAATAGAAAAGTATTAAATTGAGTTTAGACGGCAGACTAAGCAAGTACACTTGTCCATGAATGAAGTCATTTTTGATCACACACACTAAATGAAGCCATACTGGCCACAAAAACGACTGAAACCAATGAGCACCGTCGCACCCGCCGATCTGTGGATCAGTTAAATTGGTCTTTGCAGTGCATGTATCCCATCTCTTCCCAACTGAATGCAACAGCAGTTGGCAGTGATCTGACCAAGAGGAGCAGGATTAGCGAACCCACAGCTCCGAGCTTCTATAGCACACAAAATCAGATGTTACAGAAACCACAGTGCACTAAGGACGGATACGTACCTCCAATCTGGATAGAGGCTGTGGCCCGTAGTTTTCCTCCTCCTCCACCTCCACTCTGGCCTCGCTCCTCATCGCCATGATCCAAGGAGAACCAGATCGGCTCCGCTCGGCTTGCTGATTGTTTGACGGTTAATACTGAAAGCTAAGCCAGAGAGCTAGCATGGAAAAGCTGATTGATACAACTATGTTTTCATGATGATCGTCACACGGCAGGTTTTTTACTTTACCTTTTCATCTACCCTAAAACCAAACTTAAGTCTTTTTCACATTTAAAACATCTAAGAGACTATTCCATCTACACTTACACACTGTTAATACCCAGTAAAAATGTAACGTTTTTTTTTCTAACACAGTAAATCGACAAATTCACGTTAACACACTTTAGCGACAAATTCGCCCATTATTTATGTGACCGACAGCCCAGGCGCTGTCACCGTGAAGCTAGGACGAGCTGCCCGCGCACTCTGCTGTCACAGTTGCTGTTAGTTTTTACAGTTACTGGGCTAAAAGTGGTCCTTTCTACGCGACTTCGGCCCTTACCTTCTTGCAGTTTTCTTGTTTTCCTCAAACTCCTCGGTGTGAAGCTCCCGCGCGCACATTCAGATTCAATGACGTTGTACGTAAACGGAGCCAATGGGCGCGTGAAAGAAGGGTCGTGAGAGACTGGAACCGGAAGTAGGTGCGTGACCCCGCTATTACCATAGTATGGCAAACCGTCTAGGACAAAATTCGCCACTTTTAACGCTTCTGGTTACGAAATTACGCAACTGTTTAATTCGCCCGACTGAACGCAGCATTTTACGCCAAAGAGTAGCGCCTTGAACGCCTGGGAAAAGCGCCGCTTTTTCCGCCATTCAGAAGGAGCGTTCAAGGCGCAACTCTCTGGCGTAAAATACGGTGTTCTACGGGGTCAAAACCGCCACAGGTGGCCAGTTCATGTTCATGATTTGTTTTCATATTCATGACATGTTTTAATGTTAATAGCAGCCTGTTAACACACAGCTGAACTTTGAACCTCTAAATTTGTTTCTTGTCAAGTTGTTCCCCTGCAGGAAGAGTGTTCCTTTCAGATAAAGTTATATTAATTGATCAAACTGTGTTTAAAGGTCCATTTCAGCCATTAAGATGATCCATAAACACATGGATAAGTGATCATGGAGGGAAAGCTTTGGGGGCGGGGGGCTTTACACTTCAGCCTTCAGCCAATGTTCCTAGAACAAAAGTGTGACTGTCAGAGAACCTTTGGGGAACGTTCCCCGTTTGCTAAGAGCAATACTAAAAAGGGCACTTACAGTAGTTGTGGGCTGCACAGGTTTCAGAGGGGTCTGTGGTCACAGCGTACATTTATACCCAGTAGGGCATTAGAATGCTTTTGAATTTGAAAATGACTCTGGAAATATTAGAGTAAACAGTGTAATATGCCAATTGTAAGTGACAGGCCATCAAAAGTGAAGTGAAAAAAAAACAAAAAAAAAAACGTTTGCTGTGCAAATCTGAAACCTTTGATATACAACTCTGCATTTTAATTGACGCAGATGGATACCCCTCCCTGAGCAGTGGTTCTGCTCCAGGTTTCTTCCTGTTAAAAGGGGGTTTTTCCAAATGGCAAACCACAGATGAAAGACATGTTCTGTTAGGGTCCAGCGCACAAAGGCACATTTAGGACCACTCTAAATCTGGTTCTGCAATTGTTTGGGTTTAGTGGAGCAAATCAAACTTGCCATTGCTGACTCATATTCTGATCAATGTTCAGGTTCTTTTGTTTAAAACCACAGCACCTAAAGAAGCTGATAAATCTAAAACATTACTAGAGCTAAGCTAAGATACATCGTTCACAGTGTAGATTTGTTGGAACAAGGTCAGTTGACTGAAATGTAACAGAGACACCATTTAAGCACCTTAAACACGTTTATTAAATTTCTTAGAACAGGATGAAAAAGGAAAAAATGAAAGTGGGAAATAAAAGTACATAAACATTACAAACAAAGGTGAAAATACTGCTCTTTACAAACACGTTATTGTGTTTTACACATTTCTTCCTGTTTTGGAGACTTTGGCCACCACTCGTTTTTGTCCGTGTCCACAGTAACATCTGTAAATACACAAGACAAACACCACTAAATGAAAAACAAATACTGAAGCATTAATGGGAATTTTAGAAATATTATTATATTTATTCTAAAGATCTGTTTTTGTGCAGAGGCTAGTGACATCATACAGTCCTACCCAGTGATGTCACACTCCTCCACTGATTTACAGATAGCTGTAATGTACAGCAAGCTGTTAGTGAACAACAGCTAACTTGCTGCTCTTAAAAGACTTCAAACATGCGATCAGCAGGTGAAGATACATGGTGCATCTCTGTGTGGATGACTTTTTAGCTTTTGTTTGTCTGCAAGAAAACTGCAGACAACTGAAACCTACTCTAAAACGCTGCAATGTTGTTAATGATGGTTTTCAATCATTTTTTTCCATGCAAAAAAAAAAAAGAAAAGAAAAAAAAGAAAAGAAAAAAAAGAGTGTACCCAACTCATGTTCATAAATAAAGCACCTGCCTGAAGTCGAGGTTTGAAATTCTGTTAATGGTTTCCTCATTATGTACTGCTGCCTTCATTAACATAGTACTGCATGTTGCCACATGACTGTGACATGGCAACATCATGGAGGAAAAGTCAAGCACCGAGCTGACAGCCCAACTCGAGCAGTTTGTTTTGACACGTTTCTGCCTTTAATAAAGACAACAGCAAACAAAAAAAAAAAAAAGAAGAAAACTCAAATATAATTTTTCCTTTTTTCTTGGGAAAAGTTGTAGAAGTAGTACACATAAATACGCAACTGGTGTTACACAAAGCCACTGAGTCACCACAAAACCCACTAAAGTGCAGCTGTAAGAGTTACTATACTGGTCACAGGGAGCTGGGTCTCCTAATGCATGAGTCTCTGACAAGGCTGATTTTTGCTTGTTACAAATACAAAAACTGCATCTCTACTATGGAACACTTTAAAATATAGAGTTCTATAATGTTTTAAAACACTAAAATAACAGGAGTAGCGTTATTCCTCCTGCTATTATTTGGGATTTATTCTCAAATGAAAGGGACCAGACCCCTCTGAACAAAGTGGCCATGGCAGAAGAACATGTTACTGTGATTGTGGTTCTGAGAAGACCGGTGAAGTGCCATTAACCCGTGCTTCTGTTAGTATACCCCAAGTGACTGAACCCTACATCCCCACATGTTGTACGTTGTTACCCTGTTCTGGAGCTGCTGTTTCAGGAACTCGGGAAACCTCTGACAAAACAAACGGCCAACATCTTTATGATATTCTGAAGCTTTTGAAAGAATGTGACAAAGTAGCCTACGCTGCAGTTTACCTGGAATGGTTCCAAGGCTCGAGTTGTCGAAGAACTGCTTGGGACAGTTTCGGGACAGTGTCTCAGAGCTTCCGCCCACATCAAAGAATCTGCTTTTGGGGGATTCGAGGAGAGAGGCCTTTGGCGAATCCAGCAGCTTTCTGGGTGACTCCAAACCCTTCCTGGGAGTGTCCAGGAGCTTCTTGGCAGGTATCAAAAACTTTTTAGGTGAGCTCAGCAGGTTAGAGGAGTCAGAGGTCATGGGAAAGCCCCTCTTGGTGGGAGTGCTAGGTGACTGAAGCTTGTCCTCTTCCACTTTGTTCCTCACCTTTAGTTTGATGGCTCTGTTCTTCCACTTGGTAATCTCAGCCTGCTGACTGGCAACCACACTGATGAGAAAGGAAGTCTGTGATTAGAGCTCGACTTCAATTTTTATGTCACAAAGTGATAACTATGGAATGTGATCTGTGTTTGTGGAGTGAGCGTTCAAACCAAACCACCATCAGGACAGCAACGGGCTTCATCTGAATGACAGTTTGTCTCAATATCTGATCAGATCTTAATCCTAGTGACACAACAACTTGTATTGTTGTCTTGGGAGACAATAGCACTGTCTATCAACTGGAAATAATTTGATGACTATTAATGTTGCTAAACCAGTTTCAGAGGATAACTGTACAGCAAAACCAATTAGAAAGAAACAGAAGAGAAAACCTAAAATAACACAAAAAACAACAAAAATCCCAGAAATGTGAGAGATTGAGACACAGTTTGTAACATTGTTCACGCTTAAGGAAATGCTTAATCAGCAAAAAAAAAAAAATTGCATATGAACTTGAGTGTCATCCCATTTTTAATCCATAGGGTTTGATATGAGGTCAGGCAAGCCTTTTCAGTTCTTGCCTGCCATTAAAGATGCATGAAGCATCTGCAATATTCTCCTAAAGGGTGGACACAATCATACACGTCTTCAGCCCACGCACGGCCACGTACAACGCACCAAGTTACAAAAATCAAGACGTGCACGATCAGCCGATGCGCCACAAAGAAGGATGTGATATGTGATATCTTCAAATTAGCTTTTAATGCAGCAGTTATGTTAATATGAATCATCCTTGTTGTATAAATAAATATAATGCAAAAGGTGGCGATGTGCTTTACACCAGCAGTCCCCAACCCCCGGGCCTCGGACCGGTACCAGTCCGTGAGTCTTTGGTACCGGGCTGCAAGAGTTGAGGCTCAGGTGTGAAATGTATAGTTTTCAGGGTTTTTATCAGTTTTCAGCATGATTTTGTTATCGTTTACCCGGTTTTCCTGGGTCTTTTCACGTGTGTTATGAATAAATTCTCTTTTTTTTGGTACTGGTTCTAGTTTTATTTTGTTGTATTTATCCGCGACACCTTAAAGGCCGGTCCATGAAAATATTGTCGGGCATAAACCGGTCCGTGGCGCAAAAAAAGGTTGGGGACCGCTGCTTTACACTAATGCAAACAATGTTTTTGGATTGTGCTTGTTTATCTAAGGCTTGGATGCAGCTGCTCTCAAGCTCTCTATGCACTGTTCTTTCAAGCTGATCTGAAGGTCACATGAAGTTTGGTCTACCACTTTATGGAAGAGTTGATGTCGTTCCCCATTTTTGTGTTAATACCAGCGACCCGTTGTTTCACAAATGTTTGTAGAAGCTGTCTGCATGCTTGGTTCTATACACCTGTGGCCATGGAAATGACTGAACACCTGAATTCAGTGATTTGGATGGGCGAGTACAGCACAGTGCAGGTATAGATATTGATGGAGCAATACAGGGACATCATATGCATAGACAGTACAGAAGTAAATATGAAAAGTAGCATTTTAGATTCAAGATCTTATACCAGTTCAATGTTTCCCTGTTTGAGGGAGTTGTTCTACAAATGTTACTCCTTTACCACAAAAAAAAAAGAAGAAAAAGAAAAAGTGTCTTATTAGAACAAATGGAGATTTACACTCAAACAGATTTCATATCATTTCACGGTAAAATAATAAAAACTCTGAACTTCAACATGCATTTAAAATGGGTCAGTCAGCTTTAAGCTAATTAAAGATGATTGAAGGTTAATAATGCTATACTGATGCTATTATATTAAGTTTTAATGCTGCTTCCATATGCAGACAAAATGTCTGCATATGAATGGGTGGTTATTTATCAAACAGGCAGCAGTGCATTTGTATTTTTACAGTTCACCATCAAATTTCCAATCATTATAATGTAGGATTCCTCAGAGTGAGTGTTACTGTATGTCAGATTTACAAATGACCTGCTGCGCGTGCTAAAGAAGGCATTGCAACGTATGCAGATGGTAGTACAATCTGCTGACAGTAGAGAAGAGAAATTAAGAAAACACAGCAAGAGGAATTGCTGTTAATCACTCAGTGGGTTTCTGAGTCAAAGAGGAGGCTAAAATGTTTGATGTTGTAGCCGACCAAACACTGTTACAGTCAACTCAAACCAATAACAGTTGCTAAGACGGGCATTTCAGTCATCATGTCCATGATAGCTGGAAGAAGAGCCACAGTAACACAAGCTGTGTGTAGAATGTTAATGATTCCACAGCAGTAAAAACATCACTCAAAGTGTTTTCTACTTTAAACACACGTAGCGATTGTATTGGTTGCAAAGACAGTCCTGATGCCGTTACCTTTCCAGTTCTGTGATTTTCATATGAAGCTGGCTGACTTCCTTCTCCAGCTTGGATTTCTCCATCAGAATACTGCTGCTGACCACAGAACTCCTGGGGTTGGTCAGTCTGGCATGAAGGTCTTTACCCTGCAAGACTGATTCCAACATGAATGCATCATTTAAACATGCTCCTCTTTCAATGGTTACACCTGAATTAGTTATTCATCGGTCAGGTTTCTTTGTTTGTTAGCAGATATACATGCACAGCGCTGACACTTACACGACTCTTCTCCCTCCTGTTGGGATTTTCTCAAAGTCTCTTTAAGCTTCCTCAGTAACTCTTCTTTTTCCTCCAACAGTGTGTTCATCGCCTGGATCCTGGAAGACAGAATGCCGGTCATTAGAGTCAGCAGTCCTGCAGCAGGCCACAGGTCTTGACACCACTGGCCTCTGAAAACCACAGTGGAGAAAAACTAACAAACAAAAGTGTAAGAACGAATTCAATAGCTCTTTACTCTCGTTTGTGTTCGTCAGATGCTGAGCTGAGCTTCATCTCCAACTGCAACAGCTTGGTCTGAAGCTTCTCCAGCTCAGCCACACTGGGTGATGATTTTTTCTGAACCAAGGAGGACAAAGATCATCGTACCAGCTACTCATTCGTCAGATAACCAAACTGAAGTGCAGCTGCGCTGTTATATGAAACCAACAAACCTCAGATTCTCGAATTTTGCTCTTCAGAGCTTGTATAGCGTTCTCTTTCTCTTCAACTAGTGCGCGGTTGTCCTGCAGCTCAGTCTGCAGGAGTTGTGTTGCCTCTTTGTGGTTGGAAACTTTGGCATCAGCTTTGATGCGTGCCTCCTCCAGCTGCTCAGTTTGAATATGCAGAGCCTGAAAGTGAAACACATTCTTCATTATTATCTGTGGCTCTCAACTTCACCAAAACAAACAGTGCATTGGTCGGGGACTAGTTTGGGTGGTGAATGAATCCACCATTGGATGCTCCGATTTCTAGTAGCAAGCTGGTGTCTGTAAGCGTGTGTGTGTGAGAGAGACTGTGTGTTTTCATGGTAATGAAGGAACACATCACCCAGTACTAACTGATGTTTCAACTGCTTTGAACAAGAGAAGGAAAGAAATAAGAAACCGTGTGGCAAACACACTTTCACTTTTTCCTCTGCGTGTTTCAGCTGAGAAGCTAGCTGCTGGGTTTCCTTCAGCAGAGCTGCGACTGTCAGAAGCGCTCCCTCCTCCAGCGCCTGCAGCAAAGTGGAACTTTTGCTTTTCACCTCCCTAAGGTGAGACTTTGCCTCAGCCTCCAGCTGTTTTAGCTCTTCAAACGGACCCTTCTGCTCATCAGTGATACTCTATGGGAGGTAGGTGGAAAAAAAGAGCAATGCGGTAAATATCATTTAAAAGATTTCTTCTAATCCTAACTAACCAATCCCCCAAGCAGTCTGTGATGTGCATCTAGATTAAGAGCCAATCATTTGATTCATTCTGAGAGCTGGAATTATCCATTCAGAGAAATCTTTGTCAAACACGTCAACTGACCTGCAGAAGACATTTCTTGCTTTGTATCCCCGCCGTTCTGCGGTCAGACACCAGCTCCAGGATGCTGTCCAGCCCACTGAAGTTAATTGGCTGGTTGGTGATCAGGACCTGCAGCTGCTTATTGAACTTGAATCGTTCTTGAATCTCACCCTTCAGCTCATGGAGGTAGGAGGTCATGTGGTCCCAGAGCTTGTTCAAAATGCTGCTCATTTTCTACAAAATCAGCAAAGTCACCATAAAGTACCAGTGATGGAGAAGTGGATGCACATGAACAGGAGGGAGTAAAATCAAATCTGTCTCCAGCTTCAACAAGTAACAACCTTTGTTGCAAGACTGACAATACAGCTTGTTATACACCACGTGACTAATAATGATAAAGTAGACACCAGAAAAGTACAGTCTTCTTCTCAACTTCTCAGAAGCTGGTTTCTTTGAATGGGACAGAGAGAGCGTCCAAGTGTTTCAGGGGGCAGGGCAGAAGGCTCACCTCCATGTAAAGTTGCCTCCTGTCCAGCAGCTCAGGCAGTCTCTGCTCCCACAGTGTGTCAAAGCCCTCGACTTGAACAGAGTGGCTGGGCGCCTGCGCTCTGCATAGAAGCACATCCTGCAGCCGTCTCTCCTCGAAGACGGCCAAGTCGTTTTTCACCAGCTCCTCAAAAATGTTCCTGTAGCCAAATGCCTTCACACGCAGCAGCTCCTGTGGGAAAAGGACCAGAGATGACTTCATTCAAAGACCAGCATATTTAGGAAATTTTGTAGTACAGTCAAACTACAGCCAGTTACTTGAATTTTTCTGAGATTTTCATCAGTTGACTGTCCCAGCTGAAAGACCGCATCATAGGCATCCTTGGTGGCCTTGGGAAGAGGATGCTTCAGGGAACGCCGCTCCCTCAGGCCCTTGTCCTGAGTTATATTGTCATAACTACAACAAGTGTCTATGAATTGCTGGAAGCTTTTGAAGGACTCCTATAATGACAAGAACCAGGAAGCATCAGAGTTATGATCACACTGCATGCTAGAAAGACATTTGAGCTGCAGAGCAGTCAGTGAAGCCGTTACCTCAAGCTGTGTGGTGGAGTCTTGCAGTTGTGACGACAGCAGCTCCTTAGCCCCGCTGGTGCTCGGCTCTGACCTGCTGAGCTGCTCTCTGAGAGCAGAGATGGTTGCGTTCGCTTCGCTGAGCAACTGGAAATGAAAATAAAATCACAGTCAGCATTTAGCCATCCTCCACTTTATGCCAGCGATTTATTCTTGCATGTAATTGACATTCCAGCTTTTCATCTGCGTAGAAACTCTCTATTAAAGAATGTCACTTCTGACAAGCTAGCTAAAATATGAGATTCCCTCCAGTCCACCTAAATATAGTGCCTTTCTACTTTACCTGAGCTCTGATGAATGCATTCACACACGTTCACACCAGTCAATCCAAGTCGGGAATAATGGAAAAGGGGCATTATTACTGCAGCCCACTAGGGGCCTCAGTTCACAATTTGGGAACCACTGTTTTACAGCAATACTGAACAGAGCACCATGTTTGTGTCCCTGCCATACAAGACAGGAAGTATCAGCAGTCTCCAACTCAGTCCTCAGCTTTTAATCATAAATGGACTGGTGCTTACATCACACGTCTCAGTAATCCGCACACTATGTTCAGTGTCTTTCCCAAGGATAATTCAGCATGCAGATTAGAGGAGCTGTGGACTGCATTATCATAATCCAAAATTATGGTTCTAAAAAGAGGAAACAAATGAGAGCAAAGACTCACCTGCTGCACTGCATCTGCTTCACTTTCAGCCTGAGCGCATCTTTCTGTGTGCATTTGAACTTGCTCTTTAAGCTGCAGTATCTGACAAAAACAGAGCAGGTCGAGGTGTGAGCATGCAACACAGCTAACAACAGTGCTAACTGGGATGGAACCCATTTAGACCAATGGAAAAGGTATTGAAAGTGGGGCTCATCCATGTTTAGAAAAATTGTCAAAAACCACCAGCTGGAGGATCAAAAACCGAGAGCACTCAGTAAATCGACATGCACTTCTTCCGTGTTGGCAAGGCTGCAGAGGTTAGGATACACTTATGCAGGGAATGCCAACGTGCATTTGTAACATTAAATGTGTGTCAGTGGTAGGTGGTCGGGCTAGCTTCCCCACAGCTTTCATACTAATGTAAGCATCCACAGTCGAAACAAGCAGAAAATGACTGGGACCTACGTCTTGTTGCAGCTTGGCTTCTTGCTCTCCTCTCTCAGGCTGCTGCTGCATGTTCAGCTGACTCAGCTTGTCCTGGATGGCTGAGATCTGCAGATGAATGAGAAAATGTGATCAAGTTTCCAGGCTGCTCTTCCTGTTCTCGGTCACTTTAGAATAGCACTAATTTACCATCTGCACCCTGTCCTCCAGCTCTGCCCGGAGCTGCTGCTTCTCCTGCCTCAGACCCTCCAGGATCTCCTGCAGCTCGTCTCTCTCCTCGCTGACAGACGTCACTCTGCACAGCAGCTTCTCCATCTCCTCTGTGGAGGTCTGAGTGCTGAGCTCCTTCTCAGACAGCAGCGTGCTCCTTCTGCTTCAGCCATTTTCAATGCATCGGTCAGAGTCCTTATCTGTAAAAGACACGATTGGCTTTTTGACTTAAATGAAATTTCATTGATGTTTACAGAAGCAAGACAAGACATGAACCTGCTGATTTAAAGAACACAGGCAGATCAATGACCCTGTCTTTCTGCACAAACAGCTCTCTTGCACTGAGGACACCCTAAAACTAAATGTCATTAACATGAGAAAATCCAAAAAGACTACAACAAGTCCATGAGACAGAAACGCAGCTAACGTTGCAGTACAACACCTCCCAGTGAAAACTAGGATCTACGGACGCTAGAAGACCGACTGAGAACCTCCTGAGGTCAGAAAATATTGTATTGCTGTTAGCAGCATGGAATAAGACGGGGACACGTTCGTCACCAGTATTATTCCTTACGGTCACATGGATGGTTGGAAGGACAGAAAGACATCAATCCAGTGGACAAGGTGAATACCAGCGAGTCTTACAGTAATAAACAAATACATGAAGTACAGTAGAAAGCTACTATTGGACTGCTACACCTGTATCAGTCCTGGGAGAATCACTACACTTAATATGTAGATGGATCAGTGAAACTAACAGTACGCAGTCTGAAAATCTGATTAAGCTAAAAAACACAAAAGATGATGTTTTCTCTGAAGGAGGACATTTTCCTCATCACTGTGCATGTGTTGAATTTACTTCTTCATCACAGTTGATGTGGACAGTAATATGAGTCTATATAACACACATCACTGTGCAGAAAAGAGGCTTCATATTGTACCATAAAGACAGCCGCTATCAACATGCATTTGGCAAAGAACAGAAGGAAAAACTCCCTTTTAACAGGAAGAAACCTCCAGCAGAAGCAGGTTGAGCGAGGGGCGACCATCTGCTGCCACTTGTTTGGTGGTAAGGGGAAGAGAAGGAGAGAAGAAAAGCTGGAGCTGTCAATCAGACCTCAGACTGCAGTGTCTCCACCCTGTCCTCCAGCTCTGCCCGGAGCTGCTGCTTCTCCTGCCTCAGACCCTCCAGGATCTCCTGCAGCTCGTCTCTCTCCTCGCTGACAGACGTCACTCTGCACAGCAGCTTCTCCATCTCCTCTGTGGAGGTCTGAGTGCTGAGCTCCTTCTCAGACAGCAGACTGTCTCTCTCTGCTCTCACACTCTCCAGCTCCTCAGTCAAAGCCTTTATCTGTCAGTGAAAACATAAATCTAAACAACCCAACAAGCTCCACTTGCATTTTGAAGCACACAAAAGAGTTTCATCTGTGCATTCTATAGTGCTGCAATGGGTCTCTTCCCATGTGCTTAATACTTTATTACTTAAAAGAGGCAGCAGTCACTGAAAAATTGACTTTTATAATTGGGTGTGGTTAGAGATGACATTAGATCGGCACGTCTTCCTGACCATGTATGCTACACAGAGAAAAGCACCCCGAAAGTCTTACATGTGTTTGCAGTTCCACCAGCTTATCATCGTGCTCACTGGGAAGCCCATCCAGCTTCAATATTTGTTCTTCTAGCTCTTTGATCTGCTTCTTTTGCTCGCCGTTTTGCTCCAGGGCCGTCCTCAGTTCCTCCTGATTCACAATCATCTGTAAAGAAAAAAAAAAAAAAGTTTGCTTTGAGACAAACCTGATAGAAGAACAGTAGCACGAAGGAAGAGTAGAAACAGCAACTTACCATTTCCACATTTTCCTGCAGGTCCGTCCTGAGCTGGTCTCTCTCAGCAGTGAGAGAAGCCAAGGTAGCGCTCAGCTTCTCCACATCCTCCGATTCCCTCTGAAAGGTCGTCATCAGGAGAGCCTCTTTCTCATCTCGCACACACTGCAGCTCCTGTGATAGCCTCAGCATCTGTCACATTTCCAGCTGTCACAACTCTGACTCGAGGACTCATTTAGAGTCCACACACTGAGCAACAAGCCTAAAATAACATATCACTTACCTTCTCCCCTAAATCAGACTCTTTCTGCTCATGAGCTTTCACGAGATCTGAATTCTTTTCTTTTTGTGTTTGAAGCTCATCCTGAACAGACGGTAGAACAACCTGCATCTCAGCAACCTGGAAAACAAGCAAACATCATGTAACAACTTATTCGTGTATCGCTTTTCACACATAAAAGTCACAAAGTTCAAGTACGACACAGTTCATATCCGAACAGATAAACATGTCAGCAGAAGGCCTCATAAAACGGAAAACTGTTTTTCTTCATGCTCATTAAGGTGAGGTTAGAGACAGCAGTCTAAGCAGAGGAGCCAGACCTCCCCCTACAACTTCAGTAGTTGTTGAAAGGATAAAGTTGTGGTGTACCAGTGGTTAGAAATACTATTATTACTTTAGTACTACTTTAACACAAAGTCAGGGCTGACCAGGGACCATTGCTGCGAGTCACACTGCGCAGCATAAAGGCCCTTTGACAACAGACGTGGCAGCTAAGGATCCAAAATTTGTTGCACTGACCGCTGCACTCTGTCGTTTTTTGCACCAGTTCTAAGTGTACTAGATGCGCCTGCTCCTTGTCGTTTCAAAGCATGGATCTCTCTGACTTTATATCCTCTACAAGAGTTTGTGTTGTATTATCTTTAAATGTTCAATAAAAACATGTATCGCACATTCACAACGAAGAAAGCTTTGTAACTATCCCGACCAGTGAAGAGTGTGTCATTTCCACAATACAGCTTTCCCTCTGAAGTCCACAGAGCTGTTGAAAAGGCTCTGGAGGTCCCTGTGTAAGCACGTAAACCTGTGACAAAAAAAATTAACTAAACTCTGACATACACAGAATGTTTTCATTCATGGTGATGAAGGAAAATGCTGGCACGTGAAAGGGCATTTACCCTTCCAGGACCTGATGTAAAGCAGTAAAGCACCCCACTAACAGCCAAACTCATCTGTTCTCTGATTGGATTGTTAAGTTTGTGATTTACATGACATTGCCCAATCAGCTGAAAGGAGGAAAAATTGGGTCAAAATTTGTACTCGTAAGTTGAAACTCACACACAGCCAAGGAAGTTGAGTGCAGAGTTTTACACATAGTTTTTTTGCTTTGTATTTGTAACCAGACCTTAACAAAAATAAATAAATTTTGTTAAAATTCCTTTTAACAGGAAGAAAGCAGAAGCAGGCTGAGGGAGGGGCGACCAAGGGGTGAGGGGAAAAGAAGAGAAGAAAAGCTGGAGCTGTCAATCACAGACCTCAGACTGCAGCATCTGCACCCTGTCCTCCAGCTCTGCTCGGAGCTGCTGCTTCTCCTGCCTCAGACCCTCCAGGATCTCCTGCAGCTCGTCTCTCTCCTCGCTGACAGACGTCACTCTGCACAGCAGCTTCTCCATCTCCTCTGTGGAGGTCTGAGTGCTGAGCTCCTTCTCAGACAGCAGTCGTGCTCCTTCTGCTTCAGCCATTTTCAATGCATCGGTCAGAGTCCTTATCTGTAAAAGACACGATTGGCTTTTTCACTTAAATGAAATCTTATAGATGTTTACAGAAGCAAGACAAAAAGACATGAACCTGCTGATTTAAAGAACACAGGCAGATCAGTGACCCTGTCTTTCTGCACAAACACAACAAGTCCATGAGACAGAAACGCAGCTAACGTTGCAGTACAACACCTCCCAGTGAAAACTAGGATCTACGGACGCTAGAAGACCGACTGAGAACCTCCTGAGGTCAGAAAATATTGTATTGCTGTTAGCAGCATGGAATAAGACGGGGACACGTTCGTCACCAGTATTATTCCTTACGGTCACATGGATGGTTGGAAGGACAGAAAGACATCAATCCAGTGGACAAGGTGAATACCAGCGAGTCTTACAGTAATAAACAAATACATGAAGTACAGTAGAAAGCTACTATTGGACTGCTACACCTGTATCAGTCCTGGGAGAATCACTACACTTAATATGTAGATGGATCAGTGAAACTAACAGTACGCAGTCTGAAAATCTGATTAAGCTAAAAAACACAAAAGATGATGTTTTCTCTGAAGGAGGACATTTTCCTCATCACTGTGCATGTGTTGAATTTACTTCTTCATCACAGTTGATGTGGACAGTAATATGAGTCTATATAACACACATCACTGTGCAGAAAAGAGGCTTCATATTGTACCATAAAGACAGCCGCTATCAACATGCATTTGGCAAAGAACAGAAGGAAAAACTCCCTTTTAACAGGAAGAAACCTCCAGCAGAAGCAGGTTGAGCGAGGGGCGACCATCTGCTGCCACTTGTTTGGTGGTAAGGGGAAGAGAAGGAGAGAAGAAAAGCTGGAGCTGTCAATCAGACCTCAGACTGCAGTGTCTCCACCCTGTCCTCCAGCTCTGCCCGGAGCTGCTGCTTCTCCTGCCTCAGACCCTCCAGGATCTCCTGCAGCTCGTCTCTCTCCTCGCTGACAGACGTCACTCTGCACAGCAGCTTCTCCATCTCCTCTGTGGAGGTCTGAGTGCTGAGCTCCTTCTCAGACAGCAGACTGTCTCTCTCTGCTCTCACACTCTCCAGCTCCTCAGTCAGTCTCTGAATCTGTGCAGAAACACAAAGGTTAGTCCAAACTGTGACTTTAAACAGTGAAAGACATGAAAATGGTGGCTGAATGTAACAAAGGGATGCACACAGTAAAACTGCTGACTGTACACATGTTAGAATAAAGCAAGTATAGAAAAATAGTCCTGCCTGGTCTGTGAGCTCTTGTAACTGGAGGGTACTGCCTGCATCTTTGCCACTGCTCGGCCTGCTCTCCAGGTCTGCCTTTTCACTCTTCAGCAGGTTGATCTCATCTTGTAGGATTCTGATGTTCTCCTGAGAAACCCTCAGCTCCTCCTGGTTCTCAGTCATCTGAAAAGTTTTACCCACCATGACTATACAAGTTGACTCTGATAGTTTCAGCAATGCTACGATTATTCCATACACAGAGAGAAGTATTTTTCTCTCACTGATGAATTCAAAAACGTCTGTAAAAAATTGGCTAGAAATGCACGCGAGGACTCAACGCACAGAACAGGCCATGTGTGACACTTGTAGGGAGGGGCAGGTTACAAATAAAGGGTTTTATTAATGGGTTTGTGGTTATGCCGTAGCTATGGCATAATTTCTTTCTTTGTACAAGGTTCCTAGAATTTTTGCCACGAATAACTGATGTTTTAAGAAAAACCACATTAAAATTTCTTCTGTTAAGTTTTTTTTTTATATAATAGTTAATATGCCTTATTGATCAGGATATTGCAGAGATTAAAACACTGGTTTGAATTGTTGAATGGACTGATTCTTATATAGAGCTTCTCTACTCTCACGGAGTACTCAAAGCGCTCAAGACAACATGCCTCATTCACCCAATCACACCCATTCTCACAAGCACTTTATCTACACTTAGTGCTTTTCTAATGACATTCATACTCCGATGGATGCATCAGAGAGCAAGTTGGGGTTAGTATCTTGCCCAAGGATACTTGACATGCAGACTGGAGGAGCCAGGGATCGAACCACCGACAGTAGGTGACCTGCTCTACATCCTGAGCTACAGCCACCCTGCGGTGTGTACAAAGAGCAGGGACTTATCAACGCGAGCTTATGACCTGCGCTTACTGGGAATTCCTCGTTCATGGGAAATAATTCCAATCCTCAATCCCTATCACGAGTGGGGTTCAACGGGTTACCCACGCCTCTCGGCGAAGGGTAGACACATGCTGATCCACTCAGTGTGGCGCGCGTGCAGCCCCGGACATCTAAGGGCATCACAGACCAGTGATGCAGTTGGCTCTACTGCTCTGGTTTAGGAAGGATCTCTTTAAATCTGATATCCCGTCACAATGTTAGAAATTCAAACTCGATAAAGATATCAGAGAACTCACTAAATTAAGGTTGGGCGATATGTAAAAATTTTCCAATTGACAATCGTCAGTCTGATAACCGTTGATAGGTGATATACTTGCACAGGTGCAGACTTTTTGATAGGCGGAGCAACGTAACAATGTACAGGCTCATATATAACTGACTGACAACTGCTTAATAGGTTACTAGCTTAGTTTTACTGATCTCTAAAATTCCTCCTGAAGTGTTGACAAACGTCAACTACTTCATTAATTAGTGAGGGGAGGAGCTCTGTGTCTGTGTGAACTTGTGTGTCAGCTAAAGGAGGCAAAGGCAACACAGTTGATTTCAATACTGCTGCAAATAGTGAATGACCACCACATCGTGGTAGAGGGGTATTCTAGTGATGCCAGGAGCAATCTCGTCATGAGCATTGACGCTTGCAGCTTGGCATTTCTCTCCATGCCAGATATCCTTGGGCAAGACACCAACAAGAAGTTGCTATATGAATACATGTGGATATTAGATAGACAGCACTTAAGCATAGAAAGAAAAAAGTGCTTGCATGAATGAGGCAAGTTGTATAAAACGCTTCGAGTGCTCAGAGTAGAACAGCGCTACATAAGGACCAGTCCATTTAACATTTGCTGATGACATACCAAGTATGAATCTACTGAAACAAACAATATATCCAGTGAGATGCTGTAAGTCAAATGCAAACACAAAAGTAGTGCAGGTCGATTTGACATAAAAGCAAATTGTTTTTATATAGTGCTTTTCTGTTTTATAGTGTAAGGTAAACACTCTACAGTAATACAAAGAAAACAGAGAACCCCAACAGTCACATGACCCCCTATGAGTGAGCGCTTTGGTGACAGCTCTGCTGGAGGTTTCTTCTATTTTAACATGAAGTAACCTCCAGCAGACCCAGGCCAGTAAAAACAATCTTTAAATTTAAAATTGATTTAAAATCCAACAATTAGGATCATGATGGTGATGGCATACAGGGCAAATATCATACTGTGTGCACTCATCAGAAAACCCAACCGGGCTAAAAAAATAAATACTGAAATTCTGATTTTGGTTAAGCTTTTACCATCTCCACCCTGTCCTCCAGCTCTGCCCGGAGCTGCTGCTTCTCCTGCCTCAGACCCTCCAGGATCTCCTGCAGCTCGTCTCTCTCCTCGCTGACAGACGTCACTCTGCACAGCAGCTTCTCCATCTCCTCTGTGGAGGTCTGAGTGCTGAGCTCCTTCTCAGACAGCAGACTGTCTCTCTCTGCTCTCACACTCTCCAGCTCCTCAGTCAAAGCCTTTATCTGTCAGTGAAAACATAAATCTAAACAACCCAACAAGCTCCACTTGCATTTTGAAGCACACAAAAGAGTTTCATCTGTGCATTCTATAGTGCTGCAATGGGTCTCTTCCCATGTGCTTAATACTTTATTACTTAAAAGAGGCAGCAGTCACTGAAAAATTGACTTTTATAATTGGGTGTGGTTAGAGATGACATTAGATCGGCACGTCTTCCTGACCATGTATGCTACACAGAGAAAAGCACCCCGAAAGTCTTACATGTGTTTGCAGTTCCACCAGCTTATCATCGTGCTCACTGGGAAGCCCATCCAGCTTCAATATTTGTTCTTCTAGCTCTTTGATCTGCTTCTTTTGCTCGCCGTTTTGCTCCAGGGCCGTCCTCAGTTCCTCCTGATTCACAATCATCTGTAAAGAAAAAAAAAAAAAAGTTTGCTTTGAGACAAACCTGATAGAAGAACAGTAGCACGAAGGAAGAGTAGAAACAGCAACTTACCATTTCCACATTTTCCTGCAGGTCCGTCCTGAGCTGGTCTCTCTCAGCAGTGAGAGAAGCCAAGGTAGCGCTCAGCTTCTCCACATCCTCCGATTCCCTCTGAAAGGTCGTCATCAGGAGAGCCTCTTTCTCATCTCGCACACACTGCAGCTCCTGTGATAGCCTCAGCATCTGTCACATTTCCAGCTGTCACAACTCTGACTCGAGGACTCATTTAGAGTCCACACACTGAGCAACAAGCCTGAAATAACATATCACTTACCTTCTCCCCTAAATCAGACTCTTTCTGCTCATGAGCTTTCACGAGATCTGAATTCTTTTCTTTTTGTGTTTGAAGCTCATCCTGAACAGACGGTAGAACAACCTGCATCTCAGCAACCTGGAAAACAAGCAAACATCATGTAACAACTTATTCGTGTATCGCTTTTCACACATAAAAGTCACAAAGTTCAAGTACGACACAGTTCATATCCGAACAGATAAACATGTCAGCAGAAGGCCTCATAAAACGGAAAACTGTTTTTCTTCATGCTCATTAAGGTGAGGTTAGAGACAGCAGTCTAAGCAGAGGAGCCAGACCTCCCCCTACAACTTATGCAGGGTAGCACAGGTCAGATCAGGCCAGTCGAGAGATGGAACCTTTGCAGCGTGTCCTGGGTACACGCTGGGTTTCCTCTCAGTAGGACCCAGACCAGCTGAGGTGACATCCTTGTCAGATGCCTGAAGTGCCTCAGCTGGTTTCTGTTGATGCGGAGAAGCAGCAGCTCTACTGAACTCCACCCCAGTGACTGAACTTCTCAACCCATCTCTAAGACCCCTGACAACATGGCCCCTGAGTTTACCGCGACCCACAAACGCCTCCACCGCAGTAAAGGGGCAATTCACAGAGACTCCAGTGTTATATGGTTGTCCTACATTTCTTACAGAAACACTGACCACTCTCTCACCTTGTCCACGTGTTCTTGCAGCTTCACCCTGAGCTCGTCTCTCTCTGCGGTCACAGATGTTACAGCAGAGAGCAGCTTCTCCGTCTCCTCTGCAAACCTCTGATCAGCAGTGCTCTGCTCGGACAGGAGCTCGGCTTTCTCAGCTCGCACACACTGAAGTTCTTCATTTAACTGGCTGATCTAAATAAATACATACAATTCTGTTTTTGTCATAGCTATACGAATCACAGTCTTCAAGACACTCACATGTGCAGTTGAATGATATCAGCTAAACTGTAAAACTGTATTATCGAATGATTTCAACTCTTTTTCTGTTGATGGGCTAATGGTTGCACATGTGCTCAGCTGTAATAAGAGCAGCTATCAGTGTCATACTTGTTCTTGAAGCTCTCTGCTAATCTCCTCCTCAGTGCTTCTGGAAGCTTCGCTGTCAGCAAGCTTCTCCTCCAAATCCTTGATCAGCTGCTGCACGTCGCTCAGTTTTCCTTCCAGAGCTCCTCGCTCCTGCTCACTTCCTTCAAGCTGAAGGAAAACATGACAACAGTTGTTTGGAAAGCCGTACGTATAAATGTTTTGTCTCTTCAGACATAACTGCACACACTCTGGAGGACTATTAAACTTGATATCATTTTAAGCCCGATCCAGAGATTTTTTATCCTGGATGACTAAGCCGACACTTCCCTCAGCCTCACTGAAAGGCTTTTCCTTTGACTCATTATTATATCATATATATTATAGCATGCCTGTACTTCCCAATGTTTCCACCAAGTACACCGAACAAGTACCTGTCCTCACATTTGTCTCAGCAGCAAATGAAGAGCCTAGTAGCTGCTTCACTTTCTATTTGAATAACCTCTGGTGCTAGTTATGACCCTCTGCAAACGTGCTCATGCTCCCCTCCCCCCCAACTGGATGATGTCAGATTGGCTTTAGAGGATATTTGGGCCTCACCTGCTTTACCAAGGCGTCCACTTTATCTGGGAGAGTCTGACATACAGCCAGCTCATCTAGCTGAGCTCTCAAGGCCGTCTCCACTTGACGAGATGCCATCAACTCTTTATTTAGATTGGCAACAGTTCTCTCAAGCTCTATGCTGTCAATCAGATCTGGAGAAGGAGCAAATGTTACGAGGGGCAGGTTCATATGATGGGCTACAGTCTATAAATGCAACACGTGGAAACCTACTTTTAGGCACATTGCCATCTAGCAGAGTGGTGAGCTTTGTGTTCTCATCAAATGCGACATTCAGCTCCTTCTGGAGATCGCTCTGCATCTTTCTGTAACGCGACTTCTCCGTCTCCAGCTGACAACGCAGACTCTTCACCTCCGCCTCCCTTTTCTCGTGGCTGGCAGTCAGAGTCACCTGGACGAGATCGTCAAGAAGCAGGAGATGCATTAATCGCTTACAGCTGCCATTGTTGGCTCACACTTCCTGGAATATTTTTAAAATGAGGATAGATGTGCTGCAAAAAATAATTTTTTGTCATTTTAGTGTTTGATTACGTACATTCGTCTCCTCCAAAGAAATGCTGCGACTGCGTAGGACAGCCCACTCCTTCCTTGTGTCTCTGCTCAGCAGCTCTGCATCATCCAGAGAGCGGCGAAGCTTCAGCACCTCCTGCACCAAGTCCTTACTGCCCTGAAACAAGAAAACACGAAACAGTTAGCTTGTGCCATCGTTAGATTGCTGCTGCTTTCAGCACCCTGTCAGCGCTCAGATGAGACATGTTAGCCTGCTAAGACTGTAAGCAAGTGTAAGCAAGCACACTTTGCGTGAGAACAGCCTGGTTTATTCCAGGTTAATGACATAAACTGATATTAAGCACAAACACACACACACATATATCGGTAAGACTGCAGTGTTGGCCCATCTACTGCTCCAGACAGACGGATGCTCGGAGCATGAGGTGCTACTGGTTTCTAACATGTGACAGATGCACACTCCACAGTGTCACATCTACATGATGTTCCACGTCACGTGACTGAAATACTGGCCGTACCAGGTTCTCCATCTCATGTGCAAATTCTGTTTCCTTCTTCTTCAGCTGTTCAGTCAGAGTCTTGATTTCATTCTTTCAAAAGAAGAAACAAAAGCTTAAAGACAAATCAAATCAAAATGTTTCGGATCAATAAACTCTACACGTCCACTCATCTTACCTGGAGCTGCATGCGCTGGAGTTCAGAGGACTCAACAGCTTTCTTCAAGCTTACAATTTCATTTTCTAACTCTTTCTGCAAGTTTCCAGAAGCAAAGTGAACATAGTGAGATGAAAACATATTTGATAAACAGCTCTGTGAAACTTTGCTGTCAGTGGATCTGAGAAAGTTCTCCTCGTTACCTCGTTCTCCTTCCTGCACCCCTCTTCTAGAGATTTGAACTCGTCCATCTCCCTCTTCTCCTCTAGCTCCTGTAATACAGCAGCCTTCTCTGTCTCCAGACGCTCCATTTGCTCTATAAACATGCCCAGCTCCTGTTTCAGGTAGTCTCGCTCTGCAGCCACCAAGTCCTGTAACAGTATCATCCAGTTTTAACACCGCTGTAGTTTCCACGTCAGACGACTGCACTGAGGGCTTTCAACACTCGAGTGTTAAGAAAGCTGAGAGTGAGTTTAGAGCAGTGTGCAGCATGGGCTTTGTTTGAAAATCCGTCTGCCCCTTTACAGAAAGCAGTAGGATATTTGCTGTAACTGCTCTAACCTCTTCACCTTACACTTACCTTCTCTGACGCCAAAGTTTCACAAAGCTGGATGGTCTCAGCAAACTCTTTTCTCATCTGAAAAACAGAAGATTAAGACAAGTGATGATAATGTGACGCTTGGCAGACAGAGCCCGAGTCAAACACAGCATACCTGTTCATTTGTCTCAGTGTCCACGTCACTGTGTTCTCCCAGTTGTTTCTCCAAGTCCATCACTCTCACCTCCAACGTGTCAGCTTTCTGTGTGGCCTCCAGCCTCTGCTGAGCTTCAGTGTGCAGCAGCGCTTCCAGCGCTGCTCTCCTCTGTTCTCCAGTCTGCACTTTTTCCAGTGCTTCCTGTCTATGCTGCACCTCCGTTTCCAGCTCCAGCTGCAGCTCTGCCACTCTGCCCTTTAACACATCTAAATTTGACAGGGCCGTCTCTTTCTCCTGACTCTCCTGTTCCAGCTGCATCTCCAGACTGGACACTTTGCCTGAAAGTTCTTGCAGACGATCAGGAGACATGAAGTCTCTGGGACTGTAAAAAAAAAAAGCAACCGGGATATGTTTATGTTACACACCAGCACACAGTGATGGCACATGATGCGACGACTCCAGCGGCACTTGAAGTATTAGGGAACAGCTTTATTAAGTGACCGGCGCATTCCGGCTTGTGGCCTTAATCAGGGTCCAGGTGGACCTCCCCCTTTTAATGTTCCTGTACTTACTTTATATTAGCTTATTTGCATTTTGTGTGTAATTTTGAGTATGTGTTACTTTAAGACATGTGGAAAGGAGAATGATGTGGAGGAGTCTTCACATCATCAGATCTTTCTCTTCTCCGTGCACCTTAGAAGTAGGTGAAGAAAAATCTGTCGCCATCTATTTGATGAACAACACAAATGTTTGGGGCTGGGGTGACACAGATCTGTCAGACCTCTCAAAGTCATGCAGTTGGTAGACTGGACTTTACAGTGTCCTTCTTCATGGACCACATGAGCTCAAACACATTCCAGTGAAGACCACAGACATCATAAACCTCTGATTAACACTAGGAAATGGATACGCCAATTTTTTCAACAGTCAAACTCAGACCCAGAGTCCTGCTAAACTCTCAGGAGGTAGAGCAGGCCATCTACTTCCTGGAAAGGTTGGTGGTTCAATCCCTGGCTCCCCGATGCATCCATCAGAGTATGAATGTGTGGGAATGTTAGCACTTAAAATGCATTGGGTGAACGTGGCATGTTGTATAAGACGGAGAGTTAAAAGTGCTAAATAAGAATCAGTCCACTTACCACTCTGCACCTCACCCTCTCTACAGTGATTCTGAGAAGTAAATTTGCTGCAGCTTAAGAAAACACCAGAAAAAAAAGAGTCAAGAGCTATTGCTGTTACCATGGAAACTGTTTACTGACTTGTCAAAGCCCTATAACAATTCAGAAGATTGCCCATTAAGCAACCGACAGACTAACAGTTCAAAAGAAGTCCGGTGAAAGAAGCAACGAACACTCACACAACGAAGTTCAGCTGGTGAGCACAAAAAACATCTGCTGTATCCAAATTTCTTTCTTTTCCTTCTAAAGGACACAACAGAAATACCAGCACCCACTCATAAGTAGACTTTTTAATACTGATTGTTCACAGGCAACACATTTGACTCAACAACAACATTCCTTCACTACTTTTTGATTTTGGCAACAGTCAGTAGCACAGGGGAATACATGGACCCCACAGAGGTTTCACAGATAGTCTGACTCCTCCAGGTTGGCACATCAATACATGTCACTGCCTGAACAGCTGCTGTGTCTCCCAGCACAATCTCAAGAAGACAGGCCGTAGAAGGCCCCTAACCCATCACGATACAATGCAGCAGTACAGACCAAGCGAGCATTTTTCCTCATTTCAAGTGGGTAAAGTGAATTCTGGACGACTGAGGGTAACCCACAGGCACGTTCGATAATAAATACAAATAAATGATTGGTGTCTGATATGGCTTTTAAGTTTGAGAATACGAGGCTTCATTGGTGACAGAACTGCTCAGACACGTACCTGTCTCCAAAGCTACGAACAGTCACAGAGCTTCGACTCATTTCCATTTCATCTGACGGCTCATCTGGAATTCCCCAGTTGGACTCAAAGTCCTCATCGTCTGTTAAAATAGAGCACGAATATGAAAAAAATAAAAATAACACCCCAGCAAAATTCCAACATGGCATGAATATTCATCCTTTGTGCTCCTCGTTACCTTCACCCAGCTCCATCAGGCAGGAGAAATCTGACTGAGTTCTCTTCTGAGTGAAGGATTCTGCAAAGCTGAGATCAGAGAAACTCCCCACACAGCCAGATGGATGGCCAAGTTTTACCATCTTTCCTCCCCAGGTAACCCTGCGGCTTGGAATCTTGATAAAGAACACATGTTGTGATTAAAGCGAACATACAGAGAACTGCAGCTCATGGTTCAGCACAGTTACCTTCTGGACTGGGACCAGATTTGAGCTTGTCACAAGGAGATTGGCCAGATTTCTCTTCAGGCCCTCTTTTTCTCTCTGCAGCTGATCCTTCTCTTGGAGCAGCTGGGAGAGAACCTCCTTCTCTGTCACAGTGGTCTGCGTGACTGAAGAAACCTGCATGAGATGTGCATGGATCAGTGTGTGCAGATCAGTGCTGCTGGAGGAAGAAGAGTAAAAGCGGAGACACTTGCCTCGTGAAGTCGTCGCTTGAGTTCTGCAATTTCATTGCGATACCTTTTGAGCAGAGCCCCATCATCTGACACCTCTGTTACGTGAGGGTCGTTCTTCATTTTCTTTGCTGTGCTTGCAAACTATTGCAAAGAAGTCACAGCAGGTGGGTTAAAGTGTTTAGCAGTTTATGTTCTCAGTGGTTCACACGTCAAAGCTTCAGCTAACTTTTATTTCACACAAACTTTATCATCTGTGTAAGACAATAAAGTTTGTACTACACAATTTCTCGTCTGAAAGCATTTTTGAAATGGATTACATAACAGTCAGACATGTTCTCCCTACCTGTAGAGTGCTGAGGGTCTCATCCAGAGTGACCGGGGTGATGGTGCAGATAATGACAGTTTTAGCATTCCCACCCAACGAGTTCTGCAGGATGCGGGTCAGTTTACTGTCTCTGTAGTTGGTGAAACCCCTGAAGAGAAAATATTTAGGTAATAT